CAATGGCGGAGGCATAAGTTACGCTTTGGCGGAAATTTGGATTTTACTACGCCAAAAAAATGCGAGCGAAACCTTCGCTTTCGTGGATCTGCTTCAGCGAAACCTGCATGGGGTGGCTTTGGTGTGCTACTTCTGGCACTGAGTTCTGATGTTGTTTGGTTGCCGTTTGGTACTAGTATTCAGTTTTCATATTGTTCTTCTTTGCCATTGTACTGTCTGTTCTGGAGATCTTAGAAACAATACTGCATCGTTATGAGTGGATAGTTGGTGAGGGAATCCGTCTCCCAACTCCTTGGCCCCGATCGCAGACGATCTCCAACTCCCTCCTTCTCTCTGCAAGCAATGCTTTCCCCTGAGTACGCAACACTAGGACTGCAACCAGGGAGTACATGTAATAGTGTACTCTGCCACATCCTCAATGCAACTACAGGCATCCATGCAGTCGCTGGAGTCGATGATGGATCATGGAGGAAGCAACGACATCCTGCTATACAACTGTTTGAATTTGATATCGATGATGTAAACAAAACTAATATTAATACATCCGAACTGTACTGGAGCGCAGTGAATGTGCCCCAAATCGACGAGTGTACTTGACAGGAGACATTCAGCAGCCTTTCAGTGATCCACGATAGCTCTAAAAGTGAAGGTCGCTTCAACTTGGACAAGAACCTCTAAATCTTCATCGGACATGAACTGTTGGTCTAAATACTGCATTTGCATTCTCTCTGCCAAGGTGGAGCATTGAATAGCACAGTACATGTATGTGTGATCAGCAAAAGCGGCTGGGGCAGTTATATACTTTTTGCCTCTGCAAAAGCGGTGCAAACTTTTCGTGTGTGACTGCGGCCTTACAAACGCTGATTAAACTACGAGCTACTGCTTCAAATAGCAAGATCTACCTTATAGGCGCGAATAGATGCCCTGAGGCTCTATTTCACCACAAGACATATTGACGGGGGTTGTATTAGAGAGACGGCTCTATTCGAGAGAGAGACTTTATTTTAGAAACATCAATAATTGGTTTTGCCCCATTCCTGCAGATCAGTGCATGCAGTGATGGCACTCAATCGCACGGTAACCACCCGTGTCTGCAGTTTGCGTGCAATAAGTGCACCCTGTTGCACGTGCATACTGCACACGGTTCATGTACTGCACTGCATTGTACGGACTTTGCTTGCTCGATTGTAGCCCGGGCCTTGAAAAAATAAAGCTCCATCTTGTTTAGATTCCCTCTGATAGACAGGCTCTATTTGAGAGGGGCTCGATTCGAAGGGGGGAGGGGGGGGGGCTTGTATTCGAGCCCGTACGGTATACACCTGCAGGCAGTAGAGCACCTGTTCTAAAAAGAGATTATAATTCAAGCGATCTTCCTTGTCAGACGAAATAGAATCGATGTCCGAGTCTCCTACCTCGTCACCTGAAGAGCAAACGACATCCTCAACTGGGAGATTTGCTTGGTCTGCGTCTTGTATTAGGCGAAGAGCCTCGTCTGCATCCATCGCTGGAAAAGTCAAAATTCTAATTTTGACATAATTATCGCGAAAATCACTTTCAAAGCGTGCTATAAAAAATCTTTAGTGGCGACCTACGTCATGTTTAGTACCTACGTCACGGAAATCTTCTCAGCTACGCGGTGGTGAAGTCTCGGCGCGATGCAGTAAACCAGCCAAGCGTGACGATCAAAAATGTGACGCGCATTTGAAACGAGCGAAATCGCTCGTTGAGCGCACAAAGGGTTAATGTTGGCATCGTGGTGATTTGTTCTTAGCTCCGTTGTGTACGCTGTACCAGCGATTGTTTTTGGACCCAAAATGTA